CTTTCCTTTCCTTTCCTTTCCTTTCCTTTCCTTTCCTTTCCTTTCCTTTCCTTTCCTTTCCTTTCCTCTCCTCTCCTCTCCTCTCCTCTCCTCTCCTCTTCTCTCTTCTCCCTCTTTCTTTCTCTCCCTCTTCTCCTCCCTTCCTCTCTCCTTCCCTCCCTCCTTCTTTCCCTCCCTCCCCCTCCCTCCTTCCACCTCTTTCTTCCCTTTCTCTCTGTCTTTGTTTCTTTTTCTTGTTTCCTCCCTCCCTTTTGTTCTTCCCCTCCTCCCTCCCTCCCTTCTTTCTCTCTCTCCAGTGGAATATCGGAAACGCACAAATCTGGGTTTGAAACAATGAGTTCGGTCGCCGTGTTAACACCCGAGAGCTTTGCTGAGCACCGCAGCGGCCTGAGGGAAGAAGAATCACAAGGTGAGAGGGTCTCGCCGGTGGAAGATGTGGCACAGAAAGGACATTCTCACAGCCAATGAGAGGCAAAACCGATCATAAGTCACTTCTTTCCAGTGCCCCTGTAACTTTGGTCACTAAATGGCCGGTTGTAAGTTGAGGACTACCTCCTACACTATTTAATTGAAGTCCACTCAAAGGAGCCATTGTCTTTATACATTTCTCTCATTCTGTTCTTTTGATATTGGTTTCCTTGTGGTCTCTGTTCCAAGCAGGTGGTGTCCCAGAAGATGAGGCCTACATCCCAACTTACTTGGAAGCTTTCCCACCGCTCCCGGAAAAGGGGGCTCCGGGGGAAAGATCCAGTGAGTTCACAGGAGTATGGAACAAAATCCGGCCTATCAAATCTTCGGTCATCACCCAGGTGAGTGCACGGAGGAGGTGGGTACAGCGTGCGGCCTGGTGTGATCTCTCACAGAAAAGGAACGTGTGGGTTGGAAGCAACCTTTGCCAATCTGGTTTCCTCCCAAGTGAGTAGACTTCCGTGCCCAGAATTCCTCAGGCAGCATAACTGTGGCTAAGAATTCTGGGAGTTGGTTCACGTACCTGAAGGGCATCCAAGCTGCATAAGGTTGGTCCAGAACATTAGGAGTCAGTGGGGCATATCCTGGGGGTAATGAAACCATTTGCAATGGCTTGTTGAGAATCAAGGATCCAGTTTGGGCCTGAACACTGCTGGGATCGCTTTCATAAAACACAACAGACTCTGTTTTTAATCAATAAAGAAGAAGAATTGTAGCTCGCATTTGAAATGAGGAATCCTTGGTGCTCCCTGAGCTTGGTTGTTTTCTTGCAGATATTTCATGAACCAAACTAGGTAATATCATCAGGGCTAATGCAGTGCAGTGTTTCTAACTAGCACTGATGATGTTACCTAATTTGGGTCATGGAACACCTGCAAGAAAACAACCAAGTTCAGAGAGCACCAAGGATCCCACAGTTCTCCTCCTCGTCCTCCTCCCAAACCTTACTCCCTTCTCGTATTGAAGATGCAACCTAATTTGAGTAAGGAAACCTCTGCGAGAAAACAATAAGCTCAGAGAGCACCAAGGATCCCACAGTCCTCCTCCCTCCCTTTCTCCTCCTCCTGCTCCTCCACCCCACACACCGTACACCCTTCTCGCACTGAAGATGTTACCTAGTTTGGGTAACAACCAAGTTCAAAAAGCACCAAGGATTCCCTAGAGTCTGTTTTTTGTAGGGATGTATGGGTTTAATGGCACTGTTGGAGACTAGGAAGACAGATAATTGGGTCAAACCATTTAAGAGCCACTGGCCTGGAAAATTAATCATAAGACAGGAAAATGAAAAGACGGAATTACAATATTCCCCTTCCATCCCCAATCCCTGGTTTAAAATCTCTAGATTGAATTCTGCTTAGAAAGAGGTACATAAATTGCGGGGCAAGGGCTTTTGTGCATCTTGCTGTGATAACCATGGAATTAGTTAGAGAAAACTTTCTCAAACTCAGCAACTTTTTAAGAAGGGTGGACACCAAATCTGGTGCCCCTCCCTCCCACCCACCCCCACCCCCGGCAAAGAAGATGGTATCCTGGATCAATTCTTTTGGTGAATAACAGAGTAGGAAGGGAATTGGGAGGTCTTCTAGTCCAATCCCCTGCTCAAGCAGGAGACTATAGGCATGGTGGCAAACCTTTGGCATGCAGAGGTGGCACACAGAGCCCTCTCAGTGGGTACACTGTCGCCAGCACCGTCATCAGCTGGTCTTCAGGTTTCTGGTGGTTTCCGGTGCACACCAGCTGGTCTTTGTGAGTGCTGGAGTGCTGGAAAACAACCTGAAAACAGGCTGTTTTCCAGGCTATTTTCAGGCCATTTTTCAGGCTGTTTTAGGGCTGTTTTAAGGCTATTTTTGGCCCCAAAATGCCCTGAAAACAGCCAGGAATACAACTCAAAAAATGACCTGAAAACATCCTGAAAATGGCCCCAAAACAGGCTGTTTTTCAGACTGTTTTCAGGCCAAAAACATCCCCAAAATGGCCCGAAAAACGGCCCCAAAACAGGCACGCACATGCATGCCCATGCATGCATGTTTGGCCACTCAGTGCTTAAAAGGTTCACCATCATTGCTCTATAGCATTCCAGACAAGTGGCTGTCCAGTCTCTTCTTGAAAGCCTCCAGTGATAGCGTACCCACAACTTCTAGAGGCAAGCCATTCCACTGGTTGCTTCTTCTCACCCTTATGAAATTTCTCCTGATTTCTAGGTTGGTTCTCTCCTTGCTTAGTTTCCACTCTTGCTTCTTTCTAATCCTGCCTTCAGCTTCTTTGGAGGATGGGTTGACCCCCCCCCTCTTCCTTGTGGCATCCCATTAGGGTTTCCTTTTGGACCCAGTAAGGTCCGTCTGGAAATGTAGTGATCCAACCACTGTGCCCGGTTCTTCTTGGCAGGTGTTTCACGTCCCTCTGGAAGAGCGACGCTACAAGGACAACAGCCAGTTTGGAGAAGGTGATGAAGCCAAAGTCTGCGTGGACATTATGCAGAAGACGGGGGCTCATATTGAGCTTTCCTTGGCCAAGGACCAGGGCCTGTCCATCATGGTGACTGGCAAACTGGACTCTGTGATGAAAGCACGGAAGGAAATTGTCGCTCGGCTTCAGACCCAGGTGACATGTCAACCTTTTTCCACAGGGCCATTGCGACGACGGTTCTCCATGTCCTTCTCCCAATCCAGCACTTAAAATATTTACAATTTGTGCAAAAAAAATCGGTTATAATATTGAATTGGCTAAATGGCAAAAACTTTGGACCACAAATAAAAAAATAACACTGGCTACAGCTTATAAAGAAAATCTTTATAAGATCTTTACAGGTGGCATCTTCTGCCAGCAAGGCTTTCTAAAATGTTTAAAAATGTATCTCCAGATTGTTGGAATTGTAAAGGTGTACCAGGCACATTTTTTCACATGTGGTGGACTTGCAATGCTGCAAAAAATATTGGAGACTGATTCAAACATGAATAGAACAAATGATGGGAGAGTGTATTCCATGTAAACCGGAATTTTTTTCTTTTTAGAATAATATCAGAAAAATTAAAAAAGGAAATATATCTAAGGTACATGTATTGATGGCGGCTAGAATAATATATGCACAATATACTAGAATAATATATGCACAATATTGGAAAAATGGAAATATACCTCCAGAAATGGAAACAATAAGAAAAATTATGGCACGTGCAGAATGTGATAGGTTAACTTTAGAAATAAAAGACAAAGGAGAGTCTAAATATTATAAAACATGGAGTAAATTTTATAAATGGTTATATAATAGAAGACAAGGTCGGAATACTAGTAGTTATGACTAGATTAATTAGTAATTAATAAGGAGATTATAAATGATGAAGTAAAATGTATTTATATATAACAAGAATAAGTTGGATGTATTGTGTTGTATTCGCATAATTAAAATTAAAAATGATTTTTTTAAAAACATTACAATTAACTTTATGTAGGGGGTTCCAGCATAACACACCGACTTTGTAGCCGGCCTTCAAAAACTGGCACAGCAACGTTGGATCTTTTGTAGAAGGCTGCCCTTCAGCAGAGTCTTGCCATTGGCCAATCGACTCAGTTCTGCTGGAGCACCTATGAACAGTCTGGGGCCTACAGATGTTGACCTCTAGTTCTCCTCAGGCTAGGCAGCATTCGGTAGTCTTATGACATCTGCAAGGACTGTTGTGGCCTTCTGGCAGCCAAATTAGATGAGGAGGCGACATGGGAGTTGGGGCAATCTGAGAGCTCTGAGGGGGAAGAAGTAATGGAGCTGTCAGGGATAGAGACAGAGGTGGAGCCTGGGCCATCCATCAGCTCTCAGATGGCCACTGTGAAGTAGCAGAAGATGACTTCAGCCAGGTTCTCTTCAGAGTTGACATCTTCACCTTATATAAATTCCTGCTCTTCCTCTTTTTTCTAGAGAGTCTGCCCTCTCAAACGCTTCAATCCCTCTCCACAATTGCCTCCTTTCCACAGGCTTCAGCTACTGTCACAATCCCCAAAGAACACCATCGCTTTGTGATCGGCAAGAACGGCGAGAAACTGCAGGAGCTCGAGCTAAAGACGGCCACCAAGATCAACATCCCACGACCCGAGGATCCCAGCAGCCAGATCAAGATCACGGGCACCAAAGAAGGCATTGAGAAAGCACGTCATGAGATCTTGCTCATCTCAGCAGAGCAGGTGAGTAGCTGGGCGCCTCTCCTTCTCTCCAAAGGCAACAGGGTGGAGATGTGGAGGTTCACAGGAGATTATTTTGAATGTCTTCTGCAATTGATGCTGCAATGTCTTGATTCTAAAACGATAAGCCGGCACTCCCAGAGACAAGTGGCATAGATTGTGCTCTTAATTTCACCAAGAGTTAACCAAATGCACCTTTAATGAGTACTTGTGTCTATTTTTTCCCCCTAAAAGGTAAGGAAGTATTCTTATGCGTTATTTTCTTCTTGATTTCGGAAGAGCTGCTGTTGCTGTCATTTTTTTTTCACAGCAGGCTTGCAGTGAAAATAGCAATAGTACTTAGACTTATATATCGCTTCACAATGCTTTTACAGCCCTCTTTAAGTGGTTTACAGAGTCAGAATCTTGCCCCCCAACAATCTGGGTCCTCATTTTACCCACCTCGGAAGGCCAAGTTAACCTTGAGCCTGGTGAGATTCAAACTGCCAAATTGCAGGCAGCTGGCAGGCAACAGAAATAGCCTGCAGTACTGCACTCTAACCACTGCGCCACCCGACTCTTAAATAAATCAATGTTTACAGGTAATCTTCGGTTAATGAGCGCAACTTAGCCCAAAATTTCTTTGCTTAAGTCAAACTCACTGAACTGCCCTGAGATGGTGGTTAAGGGAGTCTTACCACATTTTATGACCTTTCTTGCCACAGTTCTTAGGAGAATCACTGAAGTTGATAAGTTAGTAACACAGGCTGATAAGTGGCTCCCTGTTGACTTTGCTTCTCTTCTCAGAGCCAGAGTGGCTGGGATTGTGTTGGAGAGAAGAGTGGCAGGGGGAGGAGTCAAATGGGGAATTAGTTTAGAATCTCAACGTAGTCAGCAAGAGGACAAAATCCAATCTCCTTTGAATGCTGTCAAACCTTACCTAGTTTACTCAGGTGCAGACTGTTAGTCTGAGATGATTCCTATGCTTGTCAGAAAATGTCCTTGTCAGAAGGGTCCCAAAAGGGGATTATATTATCTTGGGTCACTGCAACCGTTCTAAATAAGAGTCAGATGCCAAGCATCCTGAATTTTGATCCCAGGGATGCCACAATGATTATCAGTATGAAAAACAGTTATGTCGTTTTTTTCAGTGCCACTGTAACTTCAAAGAGTCACTAAACGGATGGTTGTAAATCAAGGACTACTTATACAGTCATACATGGCACTAGAAAATTGAAGGTTATTACGATCATCTCCTGTGTGTTTGTTTGAGAAGGGAAGGAAGGTGTTATGCCTCCATTGGAGTCTGAATCTGAGAGGAAAGATGAACACTGACAGAAAGCGGGAAAGAGGCTCTGTTGGCTGTGGAGGAAACTGGTGAAGGTCAAAGTCAGCTGGGTAGAGCAGGAGAGAGGTAGAACAAGGGAGAGGGGGTTCAGGTGAAGATAAAGGCCCATCTCCTCCTCATACTAGGGTGTGTTTGGACTGGAGTATCTGCAGCCAGAGGCTGTTGCAGGTTCATGTGAGAGCTTTTCTCCAGGCCAGAGAGTAAACGGGACGTTGGGACAAAATTGGAGCAAATAAAGGGACTCATACCTGTTCTCTGGCTGCGTTGCCTTCATGCCACGCCCCAGGTCACCACAAAAGGCCTACTGTAATAGCTTTGCATGTGTGCAAAAAATGAACCAGACTTCCAAGGTCAAACTCGGAGCCCGTTTGGTCTAGTAGTTTAGGCACCCGGCTAGAGAAATTGGGAGACCATGGTTCAAGTCCCGCTTTAGCCATGAAAGCTAGTTGGGTGACCTTTGTTCTCTCTCAGCCCAACACATGTCACACATTTGTTAGGAAAAGAAGAGGAAAGTATGATGGGTATGTTCTCCATCTTGAGTTACAGGTAGCCCTTGACTTACAACAGTTCATTTAGTGACCGTTCGAAGTTACAACAGCACTGAAAACAAGTGGCTTATGACCATTTTTCACACTGGTGACTGTAGCAGCATCCCCATGGTCAGGTCATTTGCATTCAGCTGCTTGATAATTGTTCCTATTTATGAATGGGGTGCTGGGATTAGGTGACCCTCTTTTGCGACCTTCTGACAGACCGAGTCAACGGGAAAGCTAGATTCATTTAATAACCAGGTTACTAATTTAACAACTGCAGTGATTCACTTAATATCTGTGGCAAGAAAGGTCGTAACGTGGGACAAAACTCCCTTAACAAATGTCTCACTTAGCCACATAATCTCTGGGCTCAACTGCGGTCGTGAGTTGAGGACCACCTGTATTTATAAAAATAATAAAGGCGGGATACATATAAAACGTGCTTTTTTCAAGAGGCAACTGGACTTCCATGTTTTTCTTTGAAGATGTTTCACTTTTCATCGAAGAAGCTTCTTCAGCTCTACCTATGTTCATCTCTAGTCAGGCTGAAGCTTCTCTGTGGTTTTCCTTTTAGGACAAACGAGCAGTGGAGCGCTTGAACCTGGAGAAGGTCTTTCACCCATTCATCGCTGGGGCTTTCAACAAAACAGTCCAGGAGATCATGCAGGAGACAGGGGCACGCATCAACATCCCCCCGCCCAGTGTCAGCAAGGATGAGATCATCATTACTGGAGAGAAGGAACCTGTCTCCCAGGCTCTTCTGCGTATCCGCAAGATCTACGAGGAGAAGGTAGTGTTTGAGAGATCTCTTGGGGCTCGTCTACACTGTTGGAGTATCTGTCACCATATTTCTTATTCCGCTCTGGCAGCAATTTTCTTCCCTATCTCCTCAGTTCCCATCTCTTCTCAGAGCCAGAGTGGCTGGGATTGTGTGGGGAGACATTGGCAGAGCAAGGGAAAGGAGTTAAATGGGAAATTAGTGTAGAACAGGGGTATCAAACACAAGGTCCGTGGGCCGGATCTGGCTCGTGATGTAGTTGGATCTGCCCCCGCGGCCATCCTGGAAAATGTAAGGAGACAGCCCTCTTCCCTTTGGCCAGGTCCATCCAATGAGAAGAGGAAACATTAGGCCAGTATGGCTTTGGCCCATTGTATCCAATGCAAAGAGGAAACTAGGTAAGGGCAGATATTTCTCTGATCACAATGAAAATATGTCTGCTGAAAGAAGACTCTGCATGGGCAACCAGAAGGGTATCCGGCCAGTAAACACTCAGCTCCATTCAGTTCCCCAGACTCCACCCCGCAAGGGATTATGGGGTCATTGAAAGAAGGCAAAATTCCATGTCTTGTATTCTGGGGTGACAAAGAACTTTTTCCATGTGACTCCCTTTAGGTAGTTCTGTCATATCCTCTTTAAGCTGTCTTTTTCAGGTAAATATTTCCAGATGCTTTAATATTCCATGGCCTTGCCATACTTTACATAACACCATCTGTGGTTTTGCTGAGCAGAGTTTTGGATGTCTGAGTAGAGAAATGGCTAATAATCCTAGGACAAATTTGGGGGAAGGGAGGGCTTGGATAAAGGATATGACATTTGCAAAAGCCTTTGGGCCTAACACTTCCTTTGAAGCTGCATTTTTTTCTACAATATTTTGGTCACCAGGAACTGTAAAACTATGACAGTGACATGGAAATGGTAAGAGGGGCATTGGAGGTTGAAATTTCTGCTCCTTTTCTTCTCAGTTTGGAATTTTAAAAGATATTGTTATAATATACTTGCTCATATGCTTTACAACTTACAGAGATTTGTTTAATGGCCGTTCTAAATTATTACAACAGCATTGAAAATGATTGCTATTTGTGATGCTCCCAACTGGCTTCCAAGAAGAAAAGTCAATGAAGGAAGCCAGATTTGCTTAATGACTGTATGATTCACTTAACAACTGCACTGATTCGCTTAGCAATTGTGGCAAAAAAGGTTATAAAATTGGGTGTGACTCAGTTAATCACTTTGCTTACCAATGAGAAAAAATCAGGTCCCAATCATAGTTGTTAGTCAAGGACTATTTCTAAGGGGAAAATTTGAGTGCCCACTCGGGAGAGGCTTAGATGTGATCAGGAGTGGTATTTAGCCAGTTTGGATAGGTTCTTGCATCTGGGTAGGGAAGATTTTGACTGGTTCGGAGAGCTGGTAGGGAAAATTGTGACTGGCCCTGCGCCCCTGCCTCTGTTCTTACCTCTCACCTCACCTATGTTCTGTTGTTTCTTAGATCAGCTGATTCGCGTGGCAAAGTGGATTGCCGTGTCTCAGCTGAGCTAAGAAACAGCTGATGGTCGATGTTGCTGTTATCTGTGTGTGTGCGAATTGCATGTTTGGAATGCATGGCAATGCAAGAAACAGCTGATAGTGCTGCTGTTACCTGCGCGTGCACAAATTGCACGTTTGCCACATCCAGCAATGTAAGAAACAGCTGATGGTCGGTGTTCTTGTTATCTGTGTGTGTGTGTGTGAATTGCGCGTGTGGTAGGCCTGCAATGCAAGAAACAGCTGATGGTCGGTGTTTTTGTTATCTGCGCATGTGTGAATTGTGTGTGTGATAGGCCTGGCAATGCAAGAAACAGCTGGTGGTGTTGCTGTTATCTGTGCATGCGCGAATCATGCATTTGGTGTGCCCCAGGGAAGGTAAGAAACAGCTGATGGTTGCTATTTGTCCAATTTGTGTGCACAGAAAGCAGAGAGCAGGAGGCAGAAATGTTCAGCCAAGTCTTCTCCTTCTTATTTTGTCAGCCCAAAGGTGGAGGGGGGGGGAAGGCACATACGTGGGCAATCACCCTGTCTGTACAGCATCGGTCATGTGACTGGGTGGGCGTGACCAACTCATCATCACTCACAGCAAGGTGCTATCGAGTTAGTCACTCCCACCAAGCCATACCCACAGAACCGGTGGTAAATTTTGAATCCCATCGCTGAATGTGATGGCTTACCCATCGATGGGAAACCCAATCAAACAACCAGGATTTGTTTCTGCAGAAACCACAGTCTTTCCATTCTTAGGAGTCATCAATCCTCACATTTTTGCTGCCTGCTGTTAGTTGAACAAAAACTTGGCAGTTTGCTAGGCAGGCAGTTTCAGAGTAATGACCTATGTTTTTATATCTGTTACCTAAGTGATTCTTGGTAGAGAAAACGAGAAAAAAACACTTACAAAAGGAGAAGAAAGAATAGAGGAATTTCGAGGTAGATAAGCATTTCATGCTAACCTTCCTTCTTAGTATGAGAAGAAATGGGAATATTTCTCACATAGGCCATAATAACTCTCTTTCAACCAGAATATAGCACCTGGTTTTGCAACTGGTGTGTGGTGTGTGTGTATTTAAACTTTCCAATGTTGTTCAAGCCATAAGTCTGATATTTATGCTGCTTGAGATCAGCTACTGTCAGTCTTGCAAGGGAGGCCAGACAGAAAACACAACTAACTCTTTATTGTAAGGTTACTGTCAAGCTCATTTTAGGATGATTGCATTAATTGGAACCTGGCAGTTACCTTAACAGAACCTTGGAAATCCCAAAATATATTTCTTCCCCATCATGTTTAAAGCCCAAGAAACTAAAGAGGATCACTTGATACAGACATTTGTCACATCCCCATTGTTACTCTGGTCTAAGCTCAGGGGTGGGATTCTGCTGGTTCGGACCAGTCCAGGAGAACCTCTAGCTCTGAAGATTAGCTGGGAACGAACTAATTCTCTCCGACAGTCATGTGGGATCACCCACCTACCCCTGCGCTGTACTAACCTTTATCATCCCAGCTGATCAGCATGGAAGAACAGATTGCTGCTCCTCAGCTGTGTTATTGCCTCAAAATAACATAGCAGGTAAGGATTTTTGCATTGGTGTTCACATGTGCAAAGCACGCGATCACTGAACCGGTTGTTATACCAGCAGTGTCTTACCCCTGGCTAAGCTGCCTCTTATCTGATCGTTACCCTGGCTGCAGTACTTCCTGTCTTCAAGGCCATTCCTACATACCAGTACATCTGATTCAGGGTTATCACCTACTGTGACCTGCCTACTTTGCACTTAAAGAAAAACCCTTCCTCAGTTTGGTCAAGGGCACCTTTGCAGGTAGTCCTCGATGTATGACCACAGTTGAGCCCAAAATTTTATCGCTAAGCCAGGCAGCTTAGTGAGCTTTGCTGCATTGTATTTATTATTTCTTCGTTAAATGTATCAGCCACCCATCTTAACATAGGGTAGTCTTTTACGCCCTTTCTTGCCACGGTTGTTAAGCAAATCACTATGGTTGTTAAGTTACTAACACAGCTGTTAAATGAATCTGGCTTCCCCATTGACTTTGTTTCTCGGAAGGTTGCAAAAAAAAATAGAGGCACATGACTCTGGAGACTGCAATTGTCCTAAATACATGCCAGTTGCCAAATGTCTGAATTTTGATCACATGATCATGGGGATGTGGCAAAGGTCGTAAGTGTGAAAAACAAGTCATAAGTCACTTTTTTCACTGTCTTTGTAACTTTGAACTGTCACTAGACGAACAGTTGTAAGAGGTCTACAACTGTTCATTTAATGACTGAAGTTACAATCGCACTGAAAAATGTGACTTAGAGCAATAGCAATAGCACTTATATACTACTTTACAGTGTTTTACAGTCCTGTCTAAGCGGTTTAAAGAATCAGCATTTTCCCCCAGCAATTTAGGTCCTCATTTTACTGACCTCGGAAGGATGGAAGGCTGAATCAACCTTGAGACTGATGAGATTTGAACTGCCAAAATGCAGGCAGAGGTCGACAGTCAGTAGGCTGCAGTACTGCACTCTAACCACTGCACCACCGTGGCTCCTGGTCATTTTTCACATATGACCATTGCAACATTCCCATGGTCACATGATTTATATTCAGATGCTTGACAACTGGGTCACATTTCTGATGGTGGCAGTATCCTGTAGTCATGTGGTCCATCTTTTGCAGCCTTCTGACAACTGATGTCAATGGGGAAGTTAGATTCACTTAAAAATCAGGTTACTAATTTAACAACTGCAATGATTCAGTTAACAAATGTGGCAAGAAACATGTTGTAACATGGAACAAAACAAATACCTTAAATTTTGGGTTCAATTGTGGTCGTAAGTTGAGGACTACCTGTATGCTGGACCAGTCTTAGTGTTAAAATTTCCATTTATATATATAGCACCACAGACAAACCAAGAGTACAGTCACCATGTGCTTTACTGCTCAACTGTAACAGGAAATGGGAAACTCTGCTTAGAACAAAAGAGTGTAGTGTATATACCATAGATCCAAATTTGTAAACACTGCTGTTTACTGGCTGAATATTACTGTAGTTGTTGCATAGAAATACATCCCAACAATGAATTCCAACACTTACCCGGATATGCTCCAGACCATGTGAGTAAACATCAGCCCGGTGAAAAAGTGAAGGATTGTTCGTAGGCTAAGAATGAAGGTTGGCTTTGCATCTTTTTCTGGTTCGAAGTTGCCTCTGACTGTCTTTCAGAAGCGCAAGACCACCACCATCTCTGTGGAGGTAAAGAAGTCCCAGCACAAGTACATCATCGGCCCAAAAGGAAACACCTTGCAGGAAATCCTAGATACCACAGGAGTCTCGGTGGAGATGCCGCCCCTTGAAAGCAGCTCTGAAACCATCATTCTGCGTGGAGAGCCAGACAAACTGGGGCCAGCCCTAACTCAGGTCTATGCCAAGGTAACCATCTGCAAAGGTTGCACAAAGGTCTAGTAACCCGGGGACATTTGACATGGGACTAGCACTTAGCCGCCAAGGACCTTGTTTGGTGTGCCAAAGACAACAAAAGAAATCTGGCTTTCCACCTAGAATTTGCATAAGTTAACTGAAAACAACATGCATATAAACTTTAAAGACCAGCTAAGTAAAAATGTTGGATCTGTGCAGAAGGTGTATTTTTCTGTCTCTGCATATTTCCTCTCATTTTTTTCCTTTGGTTCAATACCTGCTGTTTTGTTTAAAATAAAGTGGTGTTGTGTCAAGCAGGCTCCATTTGGTTTAGATCAGTGGTCGCCAACTGGTGGGCCGCAAAAAAAAAATTGGTGGGCCGCAGAAGAAATGTCCCCCCCAAAAACAATTAATCTGGGCCGCACAGTTCTTGCACCTCCCGGCTCTCCAAGGGACCCCAGAATCAGGCTCCTGAGATGCACGCATCAACCAACTCCTATACCCGGCGGCGGCAACAACAGTCCCCTTCCCCAGCGCCCACTGTCAGCTCTTCCCCATTAGTTCTCTAGCTTTGAATTGCTCCCGGCTCTCTCTCTTTCCTCCCCCCTCACCCACGTGCAGGCAGGAAAGGAAAGGGAGATGGAGCCGTGCACAGCTCTCCCCTTTTCCAGCCCTTGCTACCTCTCCCAACAAGCTTCAGAGATGCCGGCAAAGCCGCCACAGTTGTAGTGTCCTGAGTTGCCTTAGCATGCTTGGTTAGTTAAGAATTGCCCTACCCAGAGAAGGAAGTGGTGCTGGAGGAGGCGGTGGCAGTAGTGGAGAAGCAAGCAATTCAGGGCGCTACCGCTGTGGTGGCTTTGCCTGCATTTCCGAGGCTTCGAAGTTGGGAGAGGCAACAAGGGCTGAAAAAGGGGAGAGTGTGCAAGGCTCCGTCTCCCTTTCCATTCCTGCCTGCACATGGGCGGGGAAGGTGGGGGAGGAAAGAGAGAGAGCCGGGAGCAATTCAAAGCTAGAAAACTAATGGGGAGAGCTGACAGTGGGTGCTGGGGGAGGGGACTGTTATTACCGCCGCCACCATGTGTGGGAGCGTGCATCTCAGGGACCTGAGCCAGGAGGCAAGGGAACTGCAAGCGGGAGCGTTTGATGATTTCGAAGAACTCCTGGAACACGGTAGATTGGCATTTTGTACATCTCAGTGAAAGAGTGAGCTTTATTTTGTCTCCTTTCCTCCCCTGGTAATGCGAGAGATGCTTTCTCTCCCCCCCCCCCGCCCCCAAATAATCACTGGCTGTGGCTGGGTTTGGTAGCGAAGTGCTAAAGTGAGAAAAGTGCCCCTAGGGACACCGTTCCTTGCCTGTCTCCAGGTGACGCTGGAAGAGCCCACCCCCCCACCAGCTTTTCCTCAGCTGCAGATCTGAGCCTCTCAATCCTCCACCCGGGATCTGAAAGGAGCTCCCACTTTCTCCCCCTCCCCAAATTAATCACCAGGAGCTGCAGTCCTTCTGCAGGAAGATGCCTGCTGAGAAGCTCCTGGAGTGGCAGCCAAGGGGCGCTGCCCCCCCAAGGAGAGCAAAGCCCCCTTTCTGCCTCTGCTTCTCCCCGGCAGTTGCCCCAGGCCCCTCAGCTCAGACATGCACACACACACACACCCCACCCACTCTTTTGTCTCTTTGGAAGGTGCCAGGTGGGGGGGTGGCTTCCAGCCCAGAACGTTTTATTTTGTTATCATCAAGCATTTACATTTTTGTTATAATTTAATAAGTGTGTGTGTGTGTGTGTGTGTGTGTGTGTATACATGTGTGTGTGTGTGTGTGTATCATGTATGTATGTGTGCTTTATTTGGGTATTTTCCCACGTCATTATAGTTGTGCTTTTAAAGTTGTAGCAACGTTTCGGCAGAATCTCATCTGCCATCATCAGGCTTCTATATTGTGTTCGTCTGTGATGCACAGGGGACTTCATATATGCACCCCTGTGCATCATGCCCTGCCACATACGTTGGACAGACCAATAGAAGAATAAGTACCTGCCTAGATGAACACAAAAATGCAGTAAAAAAGCTGGAACACACTTCCTCACTAGTCCAACACCTGAAAGCTACAGGTCATAGCATCGACTTCAATGGCACCAAAACCCTAGCCACAATAGAAAACCCCAGCCACAGAATTATTAGAGAAGCCATAGAGATTGAAAAAAGACTTGAAAGCATGAATAGAAGAGATGACTCCACCAGACTGTCAATTATCTGGAAGCCTGCACTTTCAAACAAACAAATCTCCACACCACAAGCCAGCCAAACCCCTGGGCACAAACAGACTCCCTCTGATACCTCCAGCTCAAACACATCCCAACCAGGCACCCAGATGAAACCTAGCTTCCTAATAAATGATAGCTGTCTTCTGTCTGTTTTGTGGGTTTTTTTTGTCTTGATTGGCTAGCAACATTGTGTTTCCTGTATTGGAGGCTTTTAGTGAGGCCAAGCCGCACTAAAAGCCTCCAATACAGGAAACACAATGTTGCTAGCCAAT